ATATAGCGGGAGGACACTCGTTTATTGCAAACGCACGGCGATTTCTAGATATAGTATGCCAGTTGATTCAGAGTTATAGAATATTTTACTTGTGACAGACGAATTGAATTAAAACGCATACTAATAAAAAGTGCATGAATTAATCTATTATATCATTTACATATGCCCATCAGTGAACAAATGAAGCTGTTGTTTATACAGGGTGGGGCAGAACCGCTTGAGCAGTTTTGAGACGAAATAAAAGAGTAATGGAGGTACATAAGGAAGAAAGTTTATTTTCCTCGAAATTAGCATAATATACCATTTAGAATATTTGTTTAAAAATAATATCAGGAAGATGGTGGCCGTTAGCTGCAAAACACTGTTGGAGTGTATTTGAGGAGGGAGTAACCGTGACAGTGAATTCCGAACGCTATGCTGCAATGTTGCAAACTTTCTTGCATCCCAGGATGAAAAACAATGTTGAAAATGAAACATTTGTTCCAGCAGATTGGGGCTACAGCTCACACAGCCCGAATGTCACTCAATGTTTTGAAACGCATGTTCCCCGGACGTCTGGTGTCTCAGAGGGGTGATTTACAGTGGATCGCGAGGTCACCTGATTTGAGTATTGGCGTTTCTTTCTTTGAGGACATCTAAAAGAAAGGGTGTTCAGAAGTCGCCCTCACACCCTACCACAGCTAAGGGAACGGATTGTTGCAAAGGTTATGGCCATACCTCGCCATATGTGTGAACGTGCTGTATAAAACTTCCGAGAACGACTCCTACAGTGTGTTACAACTAACGGCCACCATCTTCCTGATATTATTTTCAAAACATAAGTATTCTAAATGGTATTTTATGGTAACCTCGAGGAAAACAAACTTTCTTCTTTATGTATCTCCATTACTCTTTTATTTCGTCTCAAAAACTAACTGCTCAATCGGTTCTGCCCCATCCTGTATAAATGACTTACTTGAGGTGGTCGCAGTGCATTTGACTGGGAAGCGTTTCCACCGTTTGCCAACACGAGCCTTCTCTTCAGCTAAATAATTTACATTTCCCTCTGAAGGCCACCAAACATAAATTGCTTCATTTTGTTTTACCAGCCATTCTGAGGGAACTACCTGCCATGCATTATTGTCGAAAAAAATGCCTACAAACTGTTTATACATGACTGAAAATCTGTAAAAGCATAGTCAGGCATTAGTACAGATCCTGAGATCAGTGGAGCCTTCAAACCTATTAACACAAACAGCAGTTAAAATTTTTAAGAACCCCTACCGAGCCGGATGACCAGGAAAGTATTTTCCACCTCTTAACCACAAAATTTTCTTGAGCTGGAGAAACTTAACTTTGAACTTATTGCTCATTGTTGGTGCATATTATCAGCTACTTTAATTTTGCAAATAAAAAACAAAGGAGTAAAAATACTTTCTTCTGGGTGGATGGGGACTGGCATTTCTTTATTAACAATCTTTTTATTACAGCAGAATCTTAGACATTCTACTCGACAAATTGTTCGTGATCATTGGTAAGTTCGCTTTAGAGTTTCTTGCCAGTGACAGGATTAACTTCACTGAAGACGAGTTCCTGCATGTTAAGCATCCGTGCCACTCCGAAATAAAGTCCCACTGTGGCGACAAGGATATCAAGTCAGACGTGTTTCTTTCCGTGATGTTCATCGTGAAGAGATCGCTGTCTGGGGAAACTGCCACCACTTACGCCTTTGCCCACAAGTCCATCCAGGAACGATCAGCCGCTCATTATGTTAAAGCTCGTATGATGAACTCCGAGGAGCCTCTCCTTGACATACTAGGTGTGGTCCACGCATTCAACCCGGGGTAAGCCACCGATTTCCGGAGTCGGCTTTATCGTATCTACGAGGCGGGTTTTTGAAGTAAGTACCGTATTGACGAAATAGTGAATTGGCTGCTCTCTTTCACTTTACATTCGACTTTTTGAATCAGATCCTAGGTAATGGCTGAAGTACTCTAACTTCGTTGCTCATCGTGAAATTTTTTGCACCCATCTTTAAAGACCCTAACCCATTTCCGCAAAATCCAGTAAAATGTTTTCAGAATACACTTCATGGATTCTGATATGAATGTCAACTGATGAAGCCTTGAGCTTATAGAAACGCACGCAATTCGACAGGATCCCCAATACAATAAGACGTTTTAAAATGACCTGAACAGATTTAGACTGGGTCCGATGTTTCCGTTATGGCGTATGTGGCGTCCCAACAGAATTAGCTACACAACACTCATGCACTAAACGTTGGTCGCAGTGCTACGATGGCGTAATTTAATAAGGGAACTTAATCTAAAAACACTCCTCGTATAACACGTTTTCGGATACTTGTATGTTTTATTGTTTAAGGCTTGCCACAGTACCTCTTTTGTTACTATTCTAGCGGGCATCCACAATCACTGTCGTAATGGATATTATCCAGATGCGACATTTAATTCTTTATTAAAAAAATATGCATTGCCAAAAAGGGATCGAAAAATCGTAATTTTATCTGTAATTTGGCTGATAAAATTGGTTGAAATGACATTCTTTCCACGCAGTCATTCAGATCATCGTGGAGTGAAACGAACATCGGAAGAGGCATTCGGACGCGATGAAACTCAGCCTGAGCCTGTCGCACAGTACAACCTAGCTCAGTGAGTCATCCTAGGTCGTGTCTATACTAAGGAACCAATGGCCGTAATATCAAAAATAGTTGAGAATTTTTAATTCCTTCAGCCAATCACTGACGGCTTTTCAAATTTAACTTAACAATCACAGACGAGAAACTTCCGCAACGTGTACTTAAGCGAGTTTCGATATTACGGTTCCATGGTTTGTGAAGGGTGAAAATTAAGTTTAGAACTCGAAGCTAAGTTTTTTTGGTAATTTCGATCTATGAAAGTCTACTTTCTTCCCTGGATTTGCCCGAAGATTAGTCTTGCTGGATTTGTACGATCTATTACGTTTTTATTCCTCTTTTTATTCTGTAGCCTTCCTCTAATTTTGCTTTTATGTTGCTTCAGCCTGCTGGAAGTTCTGCAGTACGTACTGCAGGATCTGTACAGCAGCTGTAGCCCCATGCAGTTCCATAGGCGCTGGCCTCAACTGAGGGACGCCCTCACAGCCGCCGGCGTCACCAGGGGCGGTGACTGGCAGGCGGTGCTGCTGAGGAGCCCTGACGTCACTGCGCTGGCGAAGCACGCGGCCGAGGTCACGATCAAGGAGGCTGACATGTGGGACGTATACACCGGTGATTTATTACATCAACGTGTATTTATTACACGGACTATATCTTGCACGGATGAGGGTAAACTAAATTCGTGAATAGCAATACAATTGTCATTAAAAACTCATTGTTTTCTACGATGGACTTGCTCAGATCACCAAATCTTCATGTTAAATACCACGTAGTATTGATAACTGAACTTATTAGGTTACCATGACTGAGGAGTGTTATTCCCTTTCCCGCCATCCCCCTCTTTCCATTATTCCTCTCTTCTCCTTTCACACTTCTTTTTGATTACCACCCCTCTTTCCATCGTTCGATCCAGGCCAACGCAGCAGCAGGGCTCTAACAAACTCACCGTTTGCCTGCAGCTCGCGACGTGTCGGCAGTTGCGCTGATGTTGCCGTATGAACAGCCTCGATTCATCACGGTAAAGATGCCAGCTGCGGTCCTGCGCGCTGCAGGTCCTAGCTGGTCTGATCTGGCAAGGCTTTACCGAGGACAACTGAAGCTGGACACTGCGGCAGGGACACCAAGCCCCGAGCCTTGTGACGACATCTTGGAGTGCCTTAGGGGCTCTCGGTCTGTAGCAGATAACTCGCATTTGTTACTATATGAAGGGCTTAACGTAATTTGACATATACACGAATAGAAGTTAATTATTTATTAATAGTGGGAACAGGCCGATAATCGTTGCGATTGTAAGTTTTTGTCGTACTATAGGTGATAATTTCCCTTGCCGTTTGTTGGAGTTCACCTCGATGAACCCAAATGAATCAGTCGATTTTCTTTCATTAGCGCTAAATTGCATGTAATGCTGGGATCTGAAATATCTCGATTCATCGGTGTTTCACACTNTTGTGTGGTTCTCTATATAAAAGCGGCATTTGTAAGCGTGATTAGACTTTTTTCATTGCCTGTGGTCAAACTGCTGGCAGCTGAATGAGTTTAATTATTCTCTAATGATCTTGCGTTTAAAGAAATTTATTAAACGGCTCGACTCAAATACACAAAATACTTTAAATTTGTTCGACTACAATAATTTAATCCTTGACATTCTCCTCCGACTATTCAAAAAAGAAAGAGTTTGCCGAATTGAAAATTTTCGGTAATACCTAATATTTTTATAGTCAATTTCGCGACGATTTGATTTGACGAATTTCATCGTTCATCACGATGTACAGTCGTACGCACGAACGAATCTCCCGTCAAAGTATTCACATATCCAAGTTCCAACTTGTACGTAAGACATTAATATATTATTGTTGAGCAACCTTGACAAAAACTATTATCATCATTATTATGTACCAATTCTTTGGACAAAAGTGACTTCTGCAATAGAATGTAGAACATGACTATAAATTATGATGTAATATGACTATTTCAAATGAATATAATTCCTACTCATTCTCACTGATCATTTTTAACGTTCTCGCTGTTTAATTATAACATTGAACAACTACATTGATGAACTATTAATCAAGAAACCTATTAAAAGGCAGTTGATTTTTTTTCTGGCATAAATCTGTGAAGATTTAAAAGACTCATAGATGAATTACCAAATTTTTGCCAAAATCTGTACAATACAATTCTGTTCATAGCACAGTTAAAAACTAGAGCACAAAATAATTAAAGAGTTTTATATATTTTAGTCATTATATAACAAATTATTATAAATAATAATTTTCTGTTATATAATAAAAAATAAATTGATATTTTATTTATAAATAAGTAAAAACTATACATAATTTAATGATTTCGTAAATAATTTAATTTCAGTGGCCTAGCATAAATACCGATGATGGCTTGTCTCTAAAATTGAAGAATTTATAAAAATTTGTCGCACGAATTTTTTTACTTATTGAAGGTCGCTTTCCTCCGCCACGTCAATTAATGCACTGTCTTGTGTATTAATTAATACATTACATAAATGAAGTGCACACTGGCCGCCCCATATCCCACTGTACCTCCACTTTTACATATTTATTATAAAGAAATTAACACTGTTTAATAGATTAGTTCTTAATAATAAATTGAAAATTATGATGTTGAAGATAAGGTAATTGTCGTGACATTGATTTTGGAGGACGCTAAGCCGAACAAAAATATAGAAAAATTGTTTTATTCCAAATTCAAACCTGTACGATATTTTTAAGTACAGTTCGTCGTGAATTCAACAATGAACCTCTGCACAATTGGATTGCACAGTTCACGATTGACAATGGAAGCAACATTTTTAACACCAATGTTAAGGTGCACAGTATGAGCATCATTTAAGCCCTCTAGCGGGCAAGTTAATTTGTTTGGTCACTTAAAAGCTCCTCCCAAAAAGATCCCTAACAGCTCCAGTTTTTGTTTGCCGCTACGTTATCGTGTCTCTGCCAATAAGGCGGATTTAGTAATATCTAGCAGGGACCGTATTTACCCTTAGCAGGGACCTTAGTAGGGATCGTATTTAATAAATTCTTCATCTGCGATTTACTCTTTCAATGTGCAGAATGTAGGAAAATTTATGGGATTATACAAATCTTAGAATAGTTTATACTTAACGGTAATGCGTTGAGAAACTTCCAGTTCTGCCTATTTCAATGATTTCCCACGAGAAAGTTCAAGTTGAATTATAGTCTTAAATTAGAGTAACATGCTTATAATGTTTTGTTATTTATTCAAGATCTAAATTGTGTATATAAGATTCACGCCCATTAATATTTTTTTTATATCCAATAGCTCATATCTTTTAATATCTACTTCAATCTAAATTTGTGTCTGTGGTGAAATGCGGTAACAACAAAAATAAGTAAATTTTAAATCAAAAACACTTTTGTTTGATAAGTCAATCTCAATTTAAGAATGCTTGAACACACGCGTGCGAAATAATATCCAGGCTCACTTTAGAAATCAGGCCAAGTTAAGTAACCCTGAATTTTAAGAATAATGTGTTTCTAAGATATCTATAATAGCTTTTTAGCGAATTTTCTCATTTATGGAAAAGACGCTATTATGTCACTCACGGCGCTCTTTGCAACCTAAAACTCCTTAGTTGTAGCTTTGGCGAGGCGGGTGAGTAGTTCATGCTCAGTAACGTGTTTGATAGTATATATACATCTGCATGTGCTTTGTACACTAAAACCTGACGTAGTGATTCTTGACTGTGGTGCGCATACACATTTTCAAAATACTGCGGTGTTAGTGAACTCTAGCATTTTGCAACTGATATTTCCTAACCTAGGGTGATGGAAACAATTTTTTTACGGACACACGGAATCACTCGGAAATTCCCGACAAGCTTTATTTACGCGGAACCTGTAATGGCAGCCACTAGTACAAGCCAATACTAACCGCTACTATTTTCGTTCAAAGTTTTTTGGAAGGATTTACTGCCAGCACTTTAGGGGACTGTGAACTAAAAATTTGTTTGGTTTAAATAGAGTTAGGTTTAATTTGCAAAGAAGTAGCAGAAATTGTAATACTCGATAAAAATGGAAGGATCTTCTAATTTTTGATGATTCATCGTTATTCAAATTTGTGTTTATCTGGTAAATTTCAAGACAAACGTTTTTCTATGGTTATAAACAAAGATCGTGACTGCAAACAAGTAATAACAGTGATAAACTGGTATTAATACTTAAACTTATTCGGCAGAAGTATTTATAAATTGTATATGAATTATCAATACGACTTCAGCACGATTATATAAATAAGTTTTTTTATTAGGCGCCTGCAATTACTATCGCAAACATAAAACAAACGATAAAGCGTGATGAATTTTGCTACGATTACGTCTATTTAATAAACCTTAATATAAATATATAGGACTCGTGGTATGACCAACTTATGGATGATTGTTGAACAGTCGAACTGATAGGTGAAATACAAATATCAGAGACTGATAGTGTCCAATATCCGCTCTTTCTAGATTCTCGTACAGACGAGAAAAAAACTGAAAGGGTCAATAATAATGGGAACGTGCACATGCACGCTTGCAAGCAACAAAACTGGGTGGATAGCTAGAGGTCAGCATAGCCCAAGTCCACAGTGCGATTCATATACCTTCCCGAGCGTAACGCAGCCGGGCATCTGCACGGCTTTTGACACAAAGCGCCCACCACAACAGCGCCGTTCAGTTACAGGCCGGAGCGCATACAGGCCGGATCGAGCACAACTGGCCGGGGCGCAACAGGCCCAACCGCAACAGCTACTCCTAACGTAACCTAACCTAACCTAACCTGCGCCGCCTGTTGCGGTAGGGCCTGTTGGGCTCCGGCCAGTTGCGCTGCGGCGCTGTGGAGCAGTGGCAGTGTTGTGCAAAGCGGATTTACTGTTAGCCGGAGTTACCCACAGCTCATTGGTCTGAGGCTATGTGTAGATATTGCAAGCTGATGCTTGGCGTTAGGCCCAGGGCCGGTTTATGTGCCAATTTTGCTACCCACCGCTGCGCTCCCACAAAACTCATGGCCAACTGGTTGAACCTGATGGCACGTCTCGGACAATTTTATGGCCGGACCCGGGGCTGGTTTCTAAATTCAATGATCAAGTTATATCTCCCAAACCAATGAGCGCAGCTCGATGAAACTTGGTACACGTATTCATTAGAACCTAACGCTGATGTTTAGCTCGTAAAAGTTTTTTTAAATTTCGCATTCATTCGTGAGTTAGATGGCGATACGGGCCGAAATTCGCAGTAATCAAGGAACTACTGAAAAGACTTGATCGAAATTTTGAATATACGTTCATAACTACCAAACGTTGATGTTTAGCTAGTAAACAATTTTTCGATTTTATCTTCGTACGAGAGTTTTTAACCCATTTCACCTTCATAGGTGGCTTAAACAGCAATACGTGCTTAAATTCGCTGTGATCAAGACATTTCTTCTAAATTTCTACTAAAAGCAAATTCTACTAAAAAAATTCTAAAAACTACTGAACATATTTGAACGAAATTTTGTATATATATACCTAACCTCCCAATGGTGATGTTTAGCTCATGACAATTTGTTTGCGAGTTATACGATCGTACTACTCTTTGTCAATGCCAATTTAAAAATCGGCCTCAAAAGTGCCGGTCATTTCTCCATACATCCGTGTAACTCGCGAACGAAAGTAAAATCGAAAAAATTATCATGAGCTAAACATCACCGATTGGTTGTTAGGAATGTATATTGAAAATTTCGTTCAAATCTATTTAGAAGTTTGGAAGAAATTCCTTGCTCACTGCGAATTTCAACACATATCACCATGTAACTCACGAAAGTAGGCGAAATTCGAAAAATTTTCACGAGCTAAACATCACCGTTGGGTCCTAATGAATACGCGTACCAAGTTTCATCGAGCTGCGTTCATTATTTTGGGAGATATTCGTTGATNTCTAATTTATTCTTATAGGAGCACTGGAAGCTAGTCCATAAAGCCCCTTGCCTAAACTGGGTTTAATTGGTACCTAACAGTTTAACAGCTCTGAAAGTTAAAATCAGTAAAACGTGGTAAAGGGAACAGTGAAAATTCCTAGATCGGCCTCGAGACCGGCCGAGAGTCCGGCAGTAAATTTGTCCGAAACATCCTGATGGCCTTGTATACGCGGAGATATCAGATGACGCGCAGGACAGGACGGACACCATTTCATGACTCACCGTCGAATTTCACCTATCATTTAAGTCGAGATAAAAAGTGGAGTTTCTCCGGCTGGTGGAAAGTTAGCTTACTACATGTACAGATTTCTCACAGACGGAAAAGAGTTTGCCAATCTTCGTTTCAAAAGATTCACGGAGGAAGATCTACCTTTTGACACAGGCCGCGTTGAACGGTCAGGTGTGTTTCACGCACCTGAAATTACACTACAAGACGAGGAAAGTAACACTTTCAAATATCAAGCTGTCTTCGATGCAAGTGATAAAATTGTGCTACTTTCAGGTGAAGCAGGAGCTGGCAAGACTACTCTGCTCAAGAACATAATCCTGCAGTTCATTGAAGTGCAGAAAACCGACTCAGACTATCTGGACGATTTCGAACTGCTTGTCCACATCGAGTGTCGGAATAGGACAGCAGAAAGTTTGCATAAAGTCTTTGTGGGAATTTTTGGCAGCGTCTGCATGAACCTTGGCGCAGAAGATGTTCTCCAGGTACTCTCACGTCTACACGTTTTGTTTCTGGTCGATGGATTTGACGAGCACAACGACAAGTCGATCACAGTTATGCGTGAACTGTTTCAGGAAACGTGGCACCCTAATTCCCGAATTCTTATTACAAGCCGTCCTTCAGCCATTGTAAAACTAAAGCAATTTCTCTCTATGAACAATGGTCATTTTTCAGAGTACAAGATGGCACCACTTTCAAAGTTGCAAGATCAAAAGGAGTTTATAGAGAGGTATGAGCAAATATTGAACAAGGGCCCTACTATGGCTGGAACGATGTCTGAACAATTTGCAAAAGTGGACCCGCGCATCAGGGCACTTTTCATTACACCAATGGCGCTGTTACACTTCTGCGCAATATATCTGCGTTTTCCAGAAACAATTAAAAATTGGAGAAGCGCAAGCGATGTTTCAGGAGCCACACTGAAGCTTTACAGGACAGTCTTTGCTACAAAGCTCAGTGACGTTAATGTGGACGAGATAGACATTCTACTCGACAAATTGTTCGTGATCATTGGTAAGTTCGCTTTAGAGTTTCTTGTCAGTGACAGGATCAACTTCACTGAAAACGAGTTCCTGCATGTGAAGCATCCGTGCCACTCCGAAATAAAGTCCCACTGTGGCGACAAGGACATCAAGTCAGACGTGTTTCTTTCCGTGATGTTCATCGTGAAGAGATCGCTGTCTGGGGAAACTGCCACCACTTACGCCTTTGCTCACAAGTCCATCCAGGAACGATCAGCCGCTCATTATGTTAAAGCTCGTCTGATGAACTCCGAGGAGCCTCTCCTTGACATACTAGGTGCGGTCCACGCATTCAACCCTGGGTAAGCCACCGATTTCTGGAGTCGGCTTTATAGTTATCTACGAGGCGGGTTTTTGAAGTAAGTACCGTATTGACGAAATAGTGAATCGTCTGCTCTCTTTCACTTTACATTCGACTTTTTGAATCAGATCATAGGTAATGGCTAAAGTACTCTAACTTCGTTGCTTATCGTGAATTTTTTTGCAACCATCTTTAAAGACCCTAACCCATTTCCGAAAAATCCTGCAAAATGTTTTCAGCATACTCTTCATGGATTCTGATATAAATGTCAACTGATGAAGCCTTGAACTTATAGGAACGCACGCAATTCGCAGTCGGCTGGATCCCCAATAAAATAAGACGTTTTAAAATCACCTGAACAGATTTAGACTGGGTCCGATGTTTCCATTATGGCGTATGTGGCTTCCCAACAGAAGTAGCTACATAACACTCATGCGCTAAACGTTGATCGCAGTGCTACGATGGCGTAATTTAATAAGGGAACTTAATCTAAAAACACGCCTCGTATAACACGTTTTCGGATACTTGTATGTTTTATTGTTTGAGGCTTGCCACAGTACCTCTTTTGTTACTATTCTAGTGGGCATCCACAATCACTGTCGTAATGGGATATTATCCAGATGCGACATTTAATTCTTTATTAAAAAAATATGCATGGCCAAAATGGATCGAAAAGTCGTAATTTTATCTATAATTTGGCTGATAAAATTGGTTGAAATGACATTCTTTCCACGCAGTCATTCAGATCGTCGTGGAGTGAAGCGAACATCGGAAGAGGCATTCGGACGCGATGAAACTCAGTCTGAGCCGGTCGCACAGTACAACCTAGCTCAGTGAGTCATCCGAGGTCGTGTCTATACTAAGGGACCAATAGCCGTAATATAAAAAATAGTTGAGAATTTTTAATTCCGTCATTCAATCACTGACGGCTTTTCAAACTTAACTTACCAATCACAGACGAGAAACTTCCGCAACGTGTACTTAAGCGAGTTTCGATATTACGATTCCATGGTTTGTGAAGGTTGAAAATTAAGTTTAGAAATAGAAGCTAAGTTGTTTTGGTAATTTCGATCCATGAAAGTTTACTTTCTTTGTCGGACTTGATGGTTTGGGGCCGAGAAGTCCCGTCAGTCACGAAATGATTAATTAGCTAATTAGGTGGCTACTTCACGCATGTCCACCTCTTTGCCGACTGTGGCGGGCTTGATCTGTTCCTAAACGGAATTCAAATTTTACTTGGGCTCATGAGTGGGATATTTTAAATAGTGTAGAATATTTTGTATGCATAACTAAGGAGTGCAAATTATATGCATCAAACTGTTGTGAAAATTTTGTAATATCATACACGCTTTAATTCATCCAAGATCATACATGGAACAAAAAAGTAGCGTGAACATATAGTGCGGAATATACGTATGAATGGAAAATACGGGAGTTGATACACTGAGGTAAACCGTTAACTGTACTTGTGATGTGTCGTGCAGGTGTCAGCTCACTGAGTTGAGAAGCGGCATCGGCAGTGCGGGCGCCGTCGCTGCCGTAGTTTCTGTTTCTACGGCCACAACTCAACTGTTCATCTCACTCCCCGCCCCACTCAACCTGCACTCCCTGCAGGGCAGATATAAGCGGCTCGGTGAGTCCGGTTTGGTGGGGAATTTTAGGCATAAAATGAGATTTTTAACAAGCCATTACCCAACGTAACAATCATTGAGGGTAGCAGGTGATCGTCATCAATTCAGACACGAAATTACGGCTAAATAGAAAAGCAACCCCCTGGCAAGGTTACGGATGGTTAACCTTGCCAGGTGAGTGTTAACTGTCATGCTAAATCAGGTCATGTAAGATCTCACCCGTGCTGGATGACATCTTGAAAACGTGCCATATGTGAGCTGGAAGCGATTCGGGGTAAGGAATCGTAACTAAGCTACATGAGGCCATCCAACTAGGCTTAGTGTTGACTGTAAACTACTGTAAGAAAGATATAACTGACTTGATAGCTGAGAGCCGGATTCCTGAAAGTTGAAGGCTGGGGTGAAATCGATGCTGCATGAAACCTGACTTTAATTTTGGGTGTAGGAAGGAAATTTTGCAAGATGGAAGCTCGATATCCGGTGGATTAAAGCTGGTAATCATCTCAGATGAGGGATGATGCCACACGCAGCATTGATTGTTTTTTTCTCAGTCGTGCAAATTTGGCCACTTGATGCTACCTGGGTTGCGGTGTCCAAGCCACAGCCGTGTCAGGAGGGGCACGACACTGGAGTCAAGACCAACGAGGCAGTATCTGGCGGGGTAAATCTACCGGCCCTGCCACTTCCGGATTTGATGGTTAGGGGCGCAAAGCCTGGCAGCTGCGAGGCTATAGCCTCAGCCATCCGCACAATCGCTCCACGCACCAGAAGGTTGGTTACTAATTATCATTCTTTGTGTAATGAAAAGAATTTTGTTAAGAGTACCAACGAATAAATTTCCTTTAATCACAACAATTTGCTTTCTTGAGAAGAGAAGAGCGGTATTACTCCTAATGTCTGTTGTTTCATGTCCAGACTGGATCAGTTATTGTTGCCACGCTGCCAGTTGGATGAGGATGAGTTGCGCCAACTGCTGGTGCAGCTACAAGGCGATGGCATCAGGAGCGCCGATGTCGGTCGCACGCGAATCACAAAACACACGTGAGCTTCAGTAGCAGGTCACAAGTGTCGCGGGTTGACGCGGGTTGTGCGACTTGATGGCAATAGTCACATCTAGCGTGAGTCTCAGCTGCGACAGTCACACTAGCAGCAAGTCATTGACGTAAATCTCGACACATGTCGCCACTAATAAACTATTTTGTTTTGTAATGTGAGAAGAAGCCAACAAATAAAAAAACACTTTATTTTTACTAGAAATACCGAATGCATCCATCTCGCGCAGCCCCTATCAAATGGCAACTTACAAATTTGATTAAGATTTCGGACAGCGATACATGATTACCAAATTCGTTGAAGGCCTGCAGGGCATTACTGAACAATATTTTATATAAATATTTTGATTAATTTCATGCTTCCAATTATTTGTAAATTATCCATGTGTTAGAAAATGAACCTAAAAAGATTTGATACATGTAAAGAACATACTGACATACACTATTATCCTCAGAGTGCAACATTAATTCAGATTCAATCATTTTCGTACAGAATAATGCCTCGTGTGAAATTATCTCAATTGTTGAATATGCATCGACTTCAAAAATACCCGTGATGTAATTTTTATAAATTTTTATCAGTCGAATAAAAGATTATTTCATTCAATAGAAATATTTTATGATTCATACATAGTTACTTCTTAGCACATAACAATTGCGAGCAAATTAGTTTATTAATACATTCAAAGGCCTTTATTCTGGTCTCAGCAGTGGTGGCCTCGTGAAGCTTCATGTGACAAAAGTCCTCACTGACCCCGAAGCGTGAGTGAATTGGGTGACCTTTTGTTCAATAGGTGAGCTATTAGGGTGATTTTACCTAAACTTGGTGAGGGTTCTTAGGTTCCAAGACTAATGAGCATGCGATGCGCAAGTGTATCAGGGAAATGCATTCATGTTATACCAATGGATAAGTATATCCAGTTAGAAAGATGGCTCATAACCGTGGTCAGGCATTTTATGGCCCATTATGGTACATTATTATTATTATTATTATTATATTATTATTTATTATTATTATATTATTTATTATTATTATTATGGTACATTATTTAGAATATAATGTACCAGGAAGTTAAATGTATACTGGTTTCAGCTTTACAAGGCAATATTGCATTGAAATCCAAACGCTACAGACGTTAAGCATTCTTTCTGGGAAAAACTTGCTACTGACGTTCGGATACCCACTCATGCTGATTGGTGAAACACAGCTCCTGGAATCTAACCATGATCTCGTCTAAGAAGGCCATCAATTCGAACATCGTTGATCTCTTGTGAGCTTATGAGATCTCGGAACTCCCAAAACCAGCTGCCAGGCCAAGTAAGAAGCCAGGAATGTGTAGTTCATAGGAAATAATTAAGCATATGGAGAAAAGTAGACCCACATATGTATATTGCCTGTAAACGGAACAAGCCTTAGTTGACAGGATAACCAAAAAATATTAGCTGCGGATAATTTTTGAGCTGCTTGCCGCGTGTGGAGGGGTAATCTGCTTCAGGAGTGACGAGTAGCGGCAAATAGGAACAAACATTTTTGTTTTTAGACGCCGGTGAGCAGCGAGAACTTGGTCACGGGACAGAGTAACGGCGTCCTAACTGGTTGAGAGTGAATTCTGCTATGGTTCGTATTATAGAATAACGGTTAGCTTGTACCTAACTTTCGGTAAATTTGAATACTTTAGAACCAATCTGGTGTATCATTTTTTCGCCTCGTGGTTGCTGGAATTGAAATGAAACGGTTGTACATGAAGTTTTTACTTGTGGATGAATATTGCTCTGCATATCATTGGCCAGAAATACTAACGATTTTAGAAGGCGCTATTTATGTCAGTCCCAATTTACTAAATTATAAAAATAAGGAATTCAATATGCAAATAAATTCATGACAACGATATACTAGAATCTATTCTTTCAATTTGCATTACTATTAACTAGTAAGACTCGTTTGTATGACGAATCCTATTAGGTGTCTTGATGGCGATGATTCTAGTGATAGTGGTGTCCAGGAATGAACCATCAAATTTTGGGATCCTACGAAATAATATTACCATAGACCGATATTATCCCACCTAAGAAGTCATTGGCCGTCTTTAATAACACGCTGCGCGGTTGCAGATGAGAAAGTACGGACAACGACTACCCTATCAAATTTCGGGGACCGCCTAATCTTTGGCCGTGGCCGAATAGTAGCTACACTCGGCGTAAAGTTATTCTGGGTTTGCTTGGCCACCCGATCGAAATCAGTTTCTGGTCAGAATCCCATCTCCGACTTTATAGTTACCTGTGAGTATGACAAGGACTGTCTGAGCCAAGTCATACCAAGCTTGCAATCAGATCAGAAGCTGTCCTTCAAACCTTGAGCCGAAACGGACATAGAGCGGCTATATAGATTTACGCGCTCCCCAAGTCCTAGGTGGCCTTAAAGCAGAGTCGCGCGCGCATCTAAATTTTTTTAGTATATAGGCTTGGTGTATAAATTTACTGGCCCGGTAAATTATAGGCCTGCTAGTTGTAGTCGTTAATTCTGGCTGCTAAAACTTGCCCCGTGTAAAGAGACTTCGACTGCTGTGTTGTGCAATGTTGGGTGGAAGACATGAAAAACGCAAACTGAAAGCGCCTGGGCAAAGTTTGTTATATAAACTGAGTCAGTATGAATTTAAGATAAACACAACATTGCTAGGTGAGTAGCTGAGTCAGACAAATTTCCTTTGTCCGGTGAACGCTATGGATAGTCACGGGCTTACTCCGAATGATTTTGATAACGATGGGCTCAATGGGCGGTTTCTCTAGGTGACACACTTGTTGAAAGATCAGGGAGGCTAATTAAGTCCATCAAATGAGTTGCCTCTATGGCCATGACAGCACTGGGTATTAAGTGGGCAATTGGAGTGGGTGAACCAGACTTCCACGTGTTAGTTGGTTTACTCAGGGTTTCGCAGCGACCAATCAAACACTAAAATAACTGGGTGAGATGCTTGGCGAGACTGAGTTAATGGCCCGAGTGACATTGACATCGCTAAGTGTTTTCATCGAATGACTCTTAAGTGTGCAATGAGTCACATTGGAAACCTCTTGTTCGCTGAATCGTTGAATGACCTGAACTTCACTGGACGAGTGACTTGGTTGAAAACCACTCTTGGGAGGATTTGGCCCGGATGGGGCGACAACTATAGTTTAAACCGAAAAACTTTTTCTTAACTACTCTACCATTTTGATCCTCATCGTTCGTTACATGCGAGTTCAATATTTAAAACTTCGTCTTAAGTAAGTTGTCTCTGATATTCGGATACAATCAATCTGTGACGTGTCATGTTTTCCCCACATGATTGCTCTGCATTGAATCTCCTCCGAATGCAGAGCTGCGAAAGCAGTGAGCCAAGTCCTCGAACAGCTACAGTCCAGTGACGCCGGGGACTTCGAGGCTCAGTGGCCGGGAATACAGCAAGTAATGCAGGATGCGGGTGCTTCAGCACGGGACTGGTGGGAGGTGCTGCTGTGCCGCCCCAGCGAGGAGAAGCTCGCTGACAAAGCTGCGCTTGTCACCCGGAGAGAAGATAGGCAGTTTTTGATAACGAGCGGTAAGATTCGCCTATTTTGAGTCTTTATTAAATATGGTTTTGGAGCGTGTTTGGCAAATGAGAAAATCGCCAGATAGAACGAAGCGGTCACAATTGAGAACTATTCGTTTCAAGCACAATTTAGGTTCTCTATCATAATTTTAGTTATACTGTAGTCAGCGACAAAGGGCACCAAAAACCGCGTACATGTTAGACATCACTTCAATTTTCTGCATTAAGATGCAGAGCTGCGAAAGCAGTGAGCCAAGTCCTCGAACAGCTACAGTCCAGTGACGCCGGGGACTTCGGATCGAGGCTCAGTGGCCGGCGATACAGCAAGTGATGCAGGACGCGGGTGCTTCAGCGCGGGACTGGTGGGAGGTGCTGCTGTGTCGCCCCAGCGAGGAGAAGCTCGCTGACAAAGCTGCGCTAGTCACCCGGAGAGAAGATAGGCAGTTTTTGATAACGAGCGGTAAGATTCGCCTATTTTGAGTCTTTATTAAATATGGTCTGGGAGCGTGTTTGGCAAATGTGAAAATCGCCAGATAGAAGGAAGCGGTCACAATTGAGAACTGTTCGTTTCAAGCACAATCTAGGTTCTCTAACATAATTTTAGTTATAGTCAGCGACAAAGAGCACCAAAAACCGCGTACATGTTAGACATCACTTCAATTTTCTGCATTAAGAACTATACTCTAAAAGAAATTATCTCTTGCAGGTCGGGACTTGGACGCGGTTGCTTTGATGTTACCATTCGCTAACAAAATGACTGTAGACGTGAATGCATTACCGGAAGTTCTGGAAACACCAACGTGGCAGCAGATTGCTTTGCATCACCGTGGATGCATGTACCTTCGCTTTCCTTTCATGTGCCGTGAACTCCAACCGTGCGACGACCTTCTCCAGCCGCTGGTCGGCAGCGGGTGAGTCAGCTGCAAACCCAGCTTTTTTACGATGCTCGACGACAGCCGCTTGCAAGGATGGGCTAATTAATTTTTGAATCCACTGAAGCTAATAAATTGGCATTAAAGCTAGCATATCTCAGAATTACATTTTCTACTAACAGCAAAAAGCAAGAAATTTAAATTTTCAATGAAATATTTTTGGCAGCACCGCTCCAAAAAACGTCGATGAAGCAGGAGATCTCCAAGACTACTAAGATTCCTCTTCAAATCATGAGTTTTTAATGATCCCGCTATTATTGGACACATCTGTTCTTTGTCTTTCATTTTTTGGTTTTGATCGATAACCTAACGCGGTTCGGATTTTATCCCTATATTAAGGATGTATTCTCACACTCACTGCATCGCGCATCTTCCATTAGAGAAAAACGCATTGAGACGACGATTTGAAGAAATAATATTAATCCATTCGCCGATATCATCGATTTTTCACTTGTTAAGCGAACGTGGATTCTGTCATTTGATTTTTGTCGGATATTTCCTCCACACGTTGCATAATTCCTCCATAATATCAAGAAATGCAACGTGGATTCGAAATTGACAAGTTCTATTCTGTAAGAAACAAGCTTTACTTAATATACCTCATGCTTTCAGAGAAGGAACATGCGACTCTGTCGTGGAGGGTCAGGCTCTGTCGAACCCGAGACCTCCACGCCGGAAGTCCTTTTCTGAATCCAGTTGACCACAAAATAGTCAAATAGTTCTCACAAAATGTGAGCTAAGCAGGAAATAAACACAAAATATCGATTTGCGTCACATATTCTAGATTAATGAGCATGATGCAAACTCCCTTGTTAGCAACCATCCTCCATGTGCCTTCCTCGAAACCCTTCTGTAATTTAAAGGCCAGCATAAGTGTTTGGTTGATTGCTCTGCCAGACAACCCTTAACGCAAAGCCAAACAGCCTTTTCTAGCTGTTGGACTCTTTCTCTAAAAGTCTAAGACAGCACTGGGGTAAAAACGGAGGTTGGAGATAGATCGCCCGTTATGTTATGTCTGCCCTGCCGGCCCCGGCTCAAGTATCTACCTGGGTGGCTGGCATTAGTGATTATGTTCATTACATTTTCTGAATAGCAGCAAATTCTCAGCTTTCGTTCGAGTGATTTCTGAAACTATTTAATACATTTAAAATCCAAGTTAAAGGTTGCGTCTCGGTCAAAATAACTTTTATTTACGAGAGTTGAATAGTATATTTTGAATTTTTTTACGAATTGAATGGTATATTTTTCAACGCTGCAGTTTAAAAATCATAGGAGGATAAAATTTGTAAAATTAAAATTTCTAGTTGTCAGGAGAGTTAAAAAACTGAAATTTGTGATCATTGAAGGTATAGATTTTGTCCACGCTTCGACTGCTGTCGTAAACGAACAAATAAACGCACAAGCATGGATTTAGGCTCTTTAAATGTGAAATTCTTGGACCTTTTAGAATGAGCCTGAAAAGACTCCGAGAAGTCAAAATTTTATAATATGACCGAGACGCTCTCCTTGAACTTTTTTGTTTCCAAATTTCATAGGCGTACTGCGAGTTTCACGTCCGAAATAATTGTATGGTCTGACAATTTTTTCAGCAATGTTGGCCTCATGGCGCAACCCTGCTCGTAGAATATTTTCATTCTTTTGATTTTTAGTGTCGTGTTTTGTATCATTCGGTGGCGGTACCCGTGTGAAGGCGATGCGAATCTAAAATTCTTTCAATGCTCTATTTGCTGCCGCGGTTAAATAATTATTTCCCTGCAGGTCCAGGGTTGAACGTTTCGAGGGCGGCATCAGGACGCCTGAAGGGGTTGCAGCTCTGGCAGCCGTTGCGGACAAATCCATGCTTCAAATCCAGCTCGAAGCACCGATAGAACTTGCCCCTCTGCAGGGAAAATACGAAAGCCTTCGTCAGTATTCGTTTGTTTCCAAATTACAGATACAGATTATGAGTTAACAAAGTTCGAAAGAGTGATGTGCTCTGGGTCACTTAATTTTTTTAATTATCAAGAGCCTTGCAATGTTGGAATATTACTTTAATTTTTTACTATAAGACTTATTAAAGTAAGGGCAGGAAAATGGCAAAATTTTACTCAGAATTTTACAAACGCTTATGACTGGATTGTATTCTGAACACTCGACAAACATGTTCCTCTTTATTTAGGAACAAATTAGCAACCAATTAGCAGTTATATCCTTATCTTTATTATACACGTGCGATTGATGACCAGAGAATTAGTTGATTTACATTATCAGGGAGTGGAACTTTTCTTCAGATGACGGTAGATCAAAAGGCAAATTTCAGGAAGTAGTCTTTCTTTATTAACGATGTTTCGAATGCAACAAACATTCATTTCCAAGTTAGAAGAGGCATTAAGTATTGACATTTTGGTGGAAATAAGTACATAATATAAGTAAATAGGATACACAGTAAAATGTTGGACCAAAAATTATTCGGAAAAACTCAGAGTTCAGACAAATCCGGAGTCAGAAAATAGATAGCTGGAGTCGGGATGCATGCCAGAGGCCAGCATTGCCCAAGACCAGCATATCTTTCATCCTCCTTTCCGTGCGTAAGTCTGCTAAAGGGCAGAGTAGACTAAGGGATTATATGTTAAAAGCCAAAGGTACAAATCCCCTTCATAGAAATTAACCAGCGAGCTAATGAGAAGTAAGCCACCAATACAATCGCTCTACGCCGTATTTAAAACCGTCCAACAGCTCTATCCCATGCCGTCCAACCTCCTCACGATTTTCGGTAAGCAACTCCCTACGCCATACCGCTGTTGATACACAGGCAGCACTCCAGCCCGTCCGTTCGTCGCAGCTGTTTTCCCCAGCATAACTCTACCTCCACGCTTACCCCGTCTCCCCGCCTTTTTTTCACCGACTGCCGGACGGCTTTTCTTAGTTTCTGCTCACTTGACTGCATTACGCTATGAAAAGAGGATTTATACGAGTTGTAAACTAACTTAACCTAACCTAACCTAATTCGGATAAGCATCAAAGGTCTGCGAGAAAAGCCTCCAGTTAGCCATGCGATAATGGTGGAGAGTCGGGGTAAGTGTGGGGGGAAGAAGCTGCTGGGGGATAGTAAGGCAGGGAAACAGTGACGCGGGGTTAACGTCTTGCGGAGTAAGGCGATGACGCATTACCGTTTGGTACAGTTCACATTTGCGGCAATGCAGTGTGGTCAGCGAACACTTAGGATAACAGCATGTGTAAGAAGTGATGGTATGGGTTATAAAGCATTGGAGAACAACCTATTGATCGTTAACTATGTGGATTGTGGAGTAGCAGCTTGTGTGCTGAAGCAGTGTTGGTTTAAAGTTCGTGTGGTGAGATAGGTCAATTGACTACAGCTGCTTAGGTGCATCTATAGCATTTAGATGGTTAATGTTGGCTCCAGGGCTGATTTGAGCATTAATTTGCTGGTCTACGGCTGCGCACCCGCGAAAGTCCAATCAGTAGAGATGAGGGGTTCAGCTATCGTCGGTCGGTTGTTGTCGGGCCACTGCTTGATCACGATGCTGGTGAGTACCTTCAGCACAAAGCGAGTGACGGTCTGGTTATGAGCTTGTCTCGCGTGGTTCACCTGCCCTCCAGTTTGAAGGTAGCTAATGAGACAGCGGCTCGGTGTCTTGATTGTTTGACCAATTTGTCCGATGTTGTCCTAAACATGAAGAAGTCTACAACCTTCTTTGAAGCAAAATTTATAGACTACACCGGCCGCTCGGATAACTCCCGCATTTTTGCAGGGGCCTTTGTTGCTCTTGGTTTGGAATTTGACGTTGTTTTCAAGGGTGTCACGAAGCCTGTTGAATTCAACGACGATTTTGAGATGAACTTGCTTGTTGATAATGCTTTGAGACCTGGTATGGTTGTGAGCTTGTCTCTGGTGGTAGGAGAAACGGCAGTTCAATGTCGCAGTTTTTACTCCAATAAACCTAATGTAATCCATAACGTGAAGAAGTCTACAACCTTCTTTGAAGTAAAATTTATAGAATACACCGGCCTCTGGGAGAACTCTCGCTTTTTTGTAGGAGCCGTAGTTCGGTAAAGTCCGGGGTTTGATTTTGTTGCCAAGGGTGTCACGGAGCCAGTCAAATTCATCGACGATCTTGAGATGATGCTGCTCGATTTTAATACTTTGAGACCTGGTCTGCTTGTGAGCTTGTCTCTGGTGGTAGGAGAAACGGCTGTCCAATGTCGTAGTTGTTACTGCAATCACCCGAATGTAATGTCTACAACCTTCTTTGGGGCAAAATTTACAGATTACACCGGTCTCTCGCAGAACTCCCACTTCTTTGCAATGGCCATTGCTCAGTATAGTCTGGGGTTTGACGGTGTGGCCATGGGTGTCACGGAGCCAGTTCAATTCGTCGAGGTTCTCGAGATGAAGCTGCTCGATTATAATATTTTGAGGTCGGTTCAGATACTTTTTGGAATCTCCAGATTTCATATTTATGACTTCACTCATGATGTTTCTCGAAATTAGTTCAGTTCTGTATTAGTATTAAAAATTATCTATTATTATTAGCAGCTTTTGAGAACAAATTTACTGCATGCTCTCCTTGCAGTAAATGGGCCAGCGCCGTTGCTCGATACCCCACACAGGAAGCATTTCTCGATAGAAGGGCTTCGGCCTTTTATCATCCCTATCGCTATAAGGAAATCTTGCCATCGACACTATATCTTTAGTTATATTATTGATATACGTCCATCTGCTAAAATATTTAACTTTTTTAAACGCTTCTGAGTCGAACAACCGACTTTCACCAAACAACCGAACACTGTGACGGTGATGACCGGTGACAATCCATATTGAACGATGCAAACCACCAGAGACCATGGCCCGAGAAGAAGTGAAATTCGTGAAATACCAAGAACCATTCATTACAGTAACCGGCATGGATGAATCTATATCCATCAAAATGTATTGTAGCTCCAAAGACTCCAAGCAAAGACTATTCAACACGCGACAGACCCATCGATGGTCCACATCTTTCCTCACATTTATCTGCCATGGACAGTCACACCGCTATTACCAAAACACACACGTCTACAGCCTCATGGACCACGATGTCATTCTCTCCAATGACCTCTCCATAATGTACAACAACTTTCCACTGGAGATTTTGAATTGAAATAGACATAGCTGCAACAAATACAATATAATACAACAAAATCGACCGTGCAAACTTCAAACAACCGTGCATCACTCAAACAAAGAAAACCTCCACCCAGACTTGCTCGCCCTTAAATTTCGCACTTGAGGGAGCATGTACGTCAAAAAGCTTTTATTCACGGAAGGATCGTTTTTAAACTTTGTACATTTGTGTAAAATAAAAATCCAAGATTTTTTAGTAATGTAAATTTTCCTAAAAAATGAAATAAAACGTGAAATTTATAGAAAACGGCAAAAAGGGGGTACTGTGAAAATCTATCTCCTCATTCAATTAACGTGCTATAACATCGAGAGACATATCATTCGATTTGTAAAGACCATATTTATTGATCGTCCGATCACTTTTTTCATTTTTGTTGTAATTTATGTGATATTTTTAGTTTTCGCCCCTCACCTCGCACTATTTTTTCAATATATAATCCAAACAAAAAAGAAACCGTAAAAAGTGACCGGCTAATCACTAGATCAGGTCTTCACGAATCGAATGGTGTATCTTTCAATGCTGTAGCTTGAAAATCATAGGAGATATATTTTTAAGATGAAAATTTCAAGTTTTCAGGAGAGCCAAATAACTGAAATTTGTGATCATTGAAGGTATTGGTTCTATCCAAGAGCTTAGATGCATGGCTGTCGCGAGCGAACAAATGAACGCACAAACATGGCTTTGGGCTCTTTAAATGCTCAATTATTGCGCCTTTAAAACGAGCTTAAACACCAGAAAGTCTCAAATTTTAGATTTTTGACGTACATGCTCTCCTTAACAGAGTACGTTTTTAATGAAAGCAAGATAAATTAAAAATTATCAGTATTTTTAGAGTGGCATGATTTATTAAGACTCATCAAAGTAGGATGCCACCTAGTACAGATAACATCCAATACACAAACAACAGTTGCCCATAAATGTTCCTGCTGAATCATTAAGTCCACTCATTTTGTGTCATTCCGGCTGTAGCAAAAACTGATTTTGTTTTAGGCCATAAACTTAAAATCAAAGAAAACTTCACAAAAATTCATAGTACCTTTAAAGAAAACGTTTCGGAGTCCAGCTCCATCGTCAGTTCGAAAATTCTAGAACACAGATAAATCAGTGATTAGTACAGTCAAGAAAACAACGAAAAATCTAAGCTGTAAAACCTACCTATTTACAATTTCAAGCGGGTAAGAGCTAAAAGCTAAATTCAAACTAGGCCTCTGCTTAAAAATATACAATGATTTTTTTGAGGTCGGTTCAGATACTTTTTGGAATCTCCAGATTTCATATTTATGACTTCACTCATGATGTTTCTCGAAATTAGTTCAGTTCTGTATTATATATAGTATTAAAAATTATCTATTATTATTAGATGGCAGAAATTAAATTCTGCCATCTAGTACTAATTATCTTTATTAGCAGCTTTTGAGAACAAATTTACTGCATGCTCTCCTTGCAGTAAATGGGCCAGCGCCGTTGCTCGATAACGTTTTCTTTAAAGATACTATGAACTTTTGTGGAGTTTTCTTTGCTTCTAAGTTTTTAGTGAATTTGCGATTCAAGCAAACGAGTGAAATAATTACTTATATACGTTCAAAATACGGTGAAGTTGTTTAAGGCTGTACAAGAAATACGTGCTAACGATTTATTTGGCATTAACATCCTAATCGAAATAGAAGATAAATTAAATCCCGATTACAGAGAGTCTGAGCAAATAGAAATATCTCATTAGTTACACAATAACAAATGCCTTACATTGCAGTTGTTACTTTATTGTCAAGCGAGGAAATATATATCCCCTGCAGCGCTGACCTGCCTGACGATGTTGTCAGCAAAACGCAGGTCCTCCGTCAACAGGCTGAGCTGACGTCTCAACTCCGGGTCCATGATCTCGACCTTGCCCTCTGACACCTGCCATAGGGAACGTCAGTACATACGCAGCTGACAGCTCTGACACCTGCCATAAGGACAGAAGTGCTACTCAACACATAATTGAATCTCGAGAGATTCACTGCTTGTCATACATCATCATCATCGTCGCTACCTTAAAGAAAAGGAATTAATCGCACTTATTTATCATTACAGAAATTTATACACACTTGGTTAACACGACAGCGGTGCCACTGCCAGCCTTGCCTCCGCCCGTGCTGCACGTGCTAGAGCCTGGCGCTGGTAGCTGTGAGGCTGTGGCTCAGACGGTGCTAGCTCTGTCTCTTATACACATCTAGATGTGTATAAGAGACAGCTTTCACTTTGATGTATGCGGTTACTCCCTACATTATTTACAGGCCTTAATCTACGGACATCATTCCTACTAATTACTTGTCCTCCATCTCCTCTGACTGTCCTTGAGCAGCCGGTGTTGTCTTGGCAGCTTGGAAGTGATTGACCTGATTTTCCGTGCCTTTCCGCCTGATTCTCTCCTGCCACTTCTTGCGAAAAACCGCCCATTCTAAGGGGGTGGAATCTTTCTTTACAAAAACTGACAAATTGAATCTCGAGTGATTCGCTGCTTGTCATACATCATCATCATCGTCACTACCTTAAAGAAAAGGAATTAATCGCACTTATTTATCATTACAGAAATTTATACACACTTGGTTAACACGACAGCGGTGCCACTGCCAGCCTTGCCTCCGCCCGTGCTGCACGTGCTAGAGCCTGGCGCTGGTAGCTGTGAGGCTGTGGCTCAGACGGTGCTAGCTTATGCACCTCGCAGCAATAGGTCAGTCGCGTAGCTGCTCACGATGTGGGACTGATGAATAAAATATGAAAATAACAAAATTTATCTTCTATTTATTTTTTCAAAAGAAAGAAAAAGTAGAAATAACTTTCATCATTACTCGTGAAAATTTCAGTTCTGTTGCCGACTGATTGCAGACCCGAGCTCGTTGTTCATCCGTCAGATCCATTACTTTGAAACCTTCAATATTGAATAAAACTTTTAAAATAAATCATCACTTGGTAACAACACAAATGCAAAATAATGGCGCAGATCAAAGATGAAGATTCTAGCGCAGGACGCACTTTTCCCTCGCCCACCACTGCTCTGTCGACGAGACCTAATCCCGCCGCACTCATGGCGGCGTGAACAGCTGAAGTATCCTGCAGCTAAAAAAATAACAGCATTTATATCCAACGTGCTCTGCTAGTGACGGAAAATTTCTCACAATGTTGTTTTATCATCGTCATTGTTGTCGTTCTATAAGATTGATCACGAGACTTACCATTAACATCACCTCAATGTCACATAATTTCCTCATCGCTCGCGCAACTCCATACATTCGGACATGAACAGCCTTGATTATAATATTGTCCATATTGTGCCTCAGGTTCAGGGAAATTGCCCTGTGGCAGTCAAAGCTGGACACAGAGGAGCAGCGGCGGCTGCTGGCGCTGCTGTACGATGAAGGGATCAGAACTAACGACGCTGGAACCACGCGCTGCGAGTTTGATGGCAGGGACGTGTGGGGTTAGGGAGGCGGTAGCTGGAGATGATGTGGAGTTAGGAAGTCTTCACTTGTTGGTTTGGGCAGATATTGTGGCGGACATTTTTTGGTGGGCGATACACTTACCTTTTCAAATTAGATTTAGCAGAGACATTATTTGCATAGATGGCAATGAATTCAATGCCTGCCAACGTTAATGAATGACTGAGTACATTGCCCACAAAAATTGAGTGATAGTTTGTCTATATGAGGATCGATGCACAATTTGCCCTTGCGTGGCATATCCTGACATAGTTTTTCCTTGCACGTAGATACTTCAGTGCTGCGCGTAGTCACAATTTTTTTAGCTTGTCCCATTCAATTTTGTGTGAGAAGGATTTATCATGGAGCTCAAGTTTAAACCAGAGATGCTACACAGTTAGGTTCTGATACCAGTATTATGTGAATGTTAATTTGTCTTTTTTTTCGCAGTGACATTTATTTATTACTTACAGTGAAGGCTGGCTATGTCTCTGCTTGTGTGATTAACCTCAAGCGCCCTCCTCGCGTGGCATGCATCCAACGGTCAGGAGCGAGAGGTGGAGCCAGTTCTGAGGTTACAAGATTGCTCGAAATTGTGACGTCTTCCATGTGTGGAACTCTTTAAGACGTCCAGCCAGCAGCGTCCATGGGCTATTTGTGCTTCAGCTATCCTCTGACATGGACTGCTTTGAAACATTGTACTGTAGCTTCGTCTCACGCTCGAAGCTTCATTTTCCTCCTTCGGCAGAGCTGGGCAGCGCTACTTGGAAATGTAGCGGCGCTACCGCTACCGCTACATGCTCTAAATGTATCGGGCGCTACCGCTACCGCTACACCCACCAGGTTGTAACGGGCGCTACCGCTACCGCTACAGTAAAATGTAGCGCGCTACATTAGCCGCTACAATGGCCAAATTATTGGAAATCTCTAAATATTTATTGTTCTGCTATTGGGATTTACTCATTAACATTCAATGATAATAAAAATTTTTAAAACATATCAATGCAACTTTATTACAGTTAACCTAACGGAACTAGTATGGGTTACCCCAGGATTAGATACAGTAAATAGAAGTTACAGTTATTTTTATGTTTTACCTTCTCTACATGGATGTGAACTTTAATCTACCAATCTAAGAAATTATCCACATATACATATAAAAATCATGAAACCGCTATTATTATTAACTTAATGGACTTTGAAATGAAGAATACACGTATGATCAAGAATGCAATAAATTTAAGACATAAAGCAGCAATGAAAACACTCTTGTTCCTGCTTCGCGAACTAATCTCAATATCCTTCAAAGTCACTCGTGCCCTAGTCGTTTTAGCCGGTGTCCACGGCCGCGCTGGAACAATAGTGTTCGAGAGAATATTGTTGTATTATGGACTTCAAGTCTATAATACAACAGCATGAACTTAATGCGTCTAGCATAAACTTAGACTCAATCATGAACTTAAACTGGATCAAATGAACTTCATGATAGTATCCGCTTAAATACCAGGGGCAATGTGGCAGCGCCATCCATTGTCCTTTTCCTATTCCAATTCTAGTGCTGCGTGCGACGCTAGCCTCGTGAGCTCCAGCGCTCCAACAGATGCTCCTGGCCACTCGACTTTTACGCGCTTGTGCGTAAAAGTCAAGCAGCTTCAGCGTTTATCAGGCCATAGGCCTGTCGACGATTCTTAACATCGCAGAACATCCACAGCTTGTTGCGGATTCGAACTCGCAACTCACTGCTTCAAATTTTCTTTGCTTAACCACCCGGCCTCCAGGCCGATTCTGACCTTAACCTGGCGCACAAAGCTCGGAGCTAACCCGCACCTCTCTGCTCCAATCTTGGTACTCTAAACTTCATGCTGACAATATATTCTTTATTCGATCATCTCATATGATGAAGTTCAGTTCAAATGATTTGGTGTAAAAATTTACCTTATCTCATGAATTCTGACTTGATGTTCTACCGATATCTTGAATGTCTGTGGTGGACACTGCTTCTTAACCTTGTATTTATTCAGTAACGTCATGAATTAATGTGTTTTTAATAATTAATTGGAATGATAATTCGAATTATTCCTCATTTGTGCATTATTGTTCTCGCAATCTTTATCGTTGATCTGCCATTGCTGTTCTAATTTATTATTGTTCCTGCATTTTCAACAATAAACGAGATGAGATCTCCAGTCGTGCTTCTCTGGAGTTCAAAAAGAAATAAGTACTCTGATTAGATAAATATAGGGTAACATGGGGCAAAGGGACCACAGCGGGTCATAGGCCCATAGCGGGTTTCTCGCTAAGTATGGCAGATATTGGTCCGTGTTCTCCGGTCAACAGTTTCACTGGGATGAAGTGTACGATTTACGTTTTGCTAAGTGTTTGCGTTATTAATTTATTTGTGAATAACTGTTTTAGCCCAGATAAATTTTTTTTTGCTGCTAAATAAAACTGTTTTCGATTACTGTAGATGAAGCTTTTGAAATTACTGTGAATTATATTTTGAATGCGTGTCACGGGGCAAAGCGCCCATTGGTGGGCTCAATACCCCTCGGTGAAGTCTTGTGTTGTACATCATTAGATTTGTCTCAATTACCTTTTCAAACTTATGACTAGCTTTTTGAATTACATATTGCACATCATATTGCATGATTTTTTATTTGCCGCCGCAAGGCAGCAGGTTCAGTTTCTAGTTATGCGTATTTATGACCCCTTAATTATCGAGTTATTGACTCTTGCCTTGCCAAAAGTTGATTTCAGTCAACACCAATGAGCCAAAAGTTGACGAGTTTTTATGGTGTTGGCTGAAATCACGATTAGGTACGAATTCTCTGCACATAATATCTGGATTATGGACGAAACTCGAAGGAAGTTTTTTTCTGATCCACTAAACATATTTTATCTAGTCAAGTGTAAATTTTTTCATGTCAAGGACGATTTTTTTATCGCAAGGATATATTTTTCAAGTCAAGGATATATATTTTATGCCAATGAAATATTTTTCTTCAAGTCAGTGATAGATTTTTTAAGCCAAGAGTATATTTTTTGAAGTTAATGATATGATTTTTTAGAATAGAAGAATAGAATAGAAGTGTCGACACTGAAGAAATAGGCCCCCATGGCCTGCTGCCGATTCTTGAATGTTTCGTGACTTGATTCACAAGTGATCCGGCCTTTGGAACCCGATCTTTCCATAGCTGACGATTGATTGAGATAGCTGCTGGACTTACAGTATTGCCTGGTCCGTAATTTTGCTAGTTTGAGTTGTTAATAAATGAATGAATGTCATATTTTTATTATATTTTTCTTATTTTAAATGTAAAGTGTTGTTTTATCATTTTTAAACGAAAAATATGCAATTGTGGTAAAGGGACCAAGGGTGGGCGCCTTGCCCCAAGCCCATGGGCCCATTGACCCAGGGGTGTCTAACTATGGCTGCTATTTGAAGGTGATGCATGCTATGTCAAATCGAACCCGACGTCATTCACTCACGCGACGTCGGTCCTTCATTCAACGAACGTTTGGCAGGGTTTGCTTTATTTAAAGAAGAGTTTATACATTCTGCTTGGGTTACAAGGTCACGACACGCACGGTTAACAATATGAAATTATTTCCAATAGCTTAAGAGTTCCAGTTTTGCCGTCATTATTTTCGTTAGCAGGTGCTTCTGCCCAGCGCCAGACTTGCCTGTAAAATACACTGAGTATTACGAGAACGATGAGTTAAGATACACTATCAGTATTTTCAAATAGAAATTTATATTCCGTAAACATGGATCCTGTTAGTAATTTTATCCCTTGAAAAACTGATCGTCAGAACTAGGACAGGTTGGCCCAGTTCACCGCCTGGAATGCGTGCGTCTTCCTCTACCTTTACTAATAATTTAATAGCCCGCCGATTTACTGAGTTTTTGTGAGTCAATTGGAGGCGGTTGCACCTCAGGCCCGTCATAGGCGTAGGNTACGTGTTCCTTGCTGCAGCCAGCGAGTAGAACTTGGCTGCCTGAAGTGATTACTATGTCAGCGAGTGCTCAATAGGCGAAGTAGGAAAACTACTGCGAAGTAGTACTGCAAAGTAGAAATCCACGAAACGATTCCATTGTTCCAAACTTAGCCTCGGTAGAAGTTAGCAGGAGAAAAGTGAGATGTCGTCAGGCTTGAAGATCCAAAAAGCGGACCGAATTATTTTTTTTACGGTAGTGCAGCTTTTGACCAGTTAATTGTTACTCCAGCAAGCAATGCATGGAATGCACATCATCTTGGCGTTGTGACACCAATCCAGCAATAAGCCTTTGTTAGAATTTGCTGTCAGTAACTTACCCAAAATATCAGTTATTTTTATACCTTCATTAGTTTTATATCTTAATTAATTCTATTTGTTTACTCTGCTCGCCCTTAACTACGGATCCGAATAGCAAGGACACTGGTACTCGGATGGCAGTAACCTTATGACCATAATGACACGCTCCTACCAACGCTCAATTATACCCAACCCGCAATCTATTCCAACCAATCCATAATTCGACCATGTGACGCCGATATTGTGCGATCTTCACTGCCTGCGCATTTAGCAGCGCACGCAGTTCACGGTCGCTGTTCTGATGTTCCGATGCCCTCACGGTCTGGCGCCTCCTTATCTCAGGGAAGGTCTGCAGCGCGTGTCGGATCTGCCTTTATGAAGACGATTGCGCTCGTCATCAACAGCGGACCTCGTCGTACCATCTACACGTCTATCTACCGTCGCCGACAGAGCGTTCCCGGTCGCCGCCGCCAGAACCTGGAACAGTCTGCCGGCTTCCATAACTTCGGCTCCCTCGTTGCCGGTGTTTCGTCGACGCCTAAAGACGGAACTATTTCGTAGAACCTATGAATCTAGTGCTTTTAGTCATTTTATCCGCTCCCATCCTTTCCTGTGTCCATTTATTTTTCGCATGCTATTTATCTTGTGAGTGACGTGCTCTCGTTTGAACCAGACGCCCCGATAAATTTTCGGTAGAATAATAATAATAATCAGTCGAGCTCCCATGAGGAGTTGCACTGGAACTGCCTGAGGTCACCAGGTTCCCCGGATTGAATGACCCTGTCTGGGTTGCCTGTCGGAGACCCAAAACTACCGAGCTCTGCGCGGGCCAACCTGATTCCTCCTTCGAATAACGTAGATTCCAACAATTCAACTCCTTGACTATATCGGCTGCAAGCCCCAAAAGACAGGTAAAATATATTTAATTAGATATCAGCCCCATCAAAGTAGACGGGTATAATATAGCCTAGAACCGTCAATATTTAAAGGGAATGTAGTCGTGGGCCAGCTACTTGCGGCTCAGCTACTTACTTCTCTCAAATTGTGAGTGACAGGCAGTCCTACGGAAAGATTCTACCGTCAATGCCGATAACGTCACCATGTACTTGAGTCGCCGGTCTTCAACAGAAACGATCTATTATATAAGCCAAACTGAACCACATCTTCTTAGCACGACCGAAAAACCTCATTAGTTATCATGTGGCCATCAAACCCTATAAATAGTAGTTCTCATAAGGGTAATAAGTTTTTCGGTGGTGAGCTGCGAGTTATGTGGAGTTTTTCCTGAGTCTCGACTTATGTGGCGCTGTTGGTAGATGTTGATATTATACAATAGAAGTTCCGGCTCTGGAAATGGGCCCATGGCGGATGCTGATTCATGTATCTAGGTAAACAGTCTTGCAAATGTACTTTTTTCGACGCATCCTTACCTGCATTATGAACTTTTGTGTCTTCAGCATGCATGGAGCACACAGCGTCGCGTGACGTGAACCAGCCCGTGTCTTGCATGGATGACTTCAATATACGAGGCTTAGCATTAACACCGCTGCAATTATCACAGAGTCGCGCAACTTGGGGGATTTAGTTCCTACATGTTCAGCGAACGAGCGAGTGGGCAGAGGAATGGATGAGTAGCCCCGGTTGATGGTAGGTAAATTCTGTCAATTGCATTTTCAAGCCAACACCTGTGTGCAAATTTTATGTAAGTAAAATTTTTTAATATGACAAATAATTTTTTTGCTCTAGACCTTAGTAGAGGTACTCTCCAAAATCTCACTTTTCACACTTTTTTTCAGCAATTTTTCAAAGATAGTAAATGTATGATTTCTTATCTAGCTTTATACATAATAGATAGTAAAAATGTTGAAGTTAACGCCACTATTTTTAGTTTTGCAATTTATTTTGATTAGTTTAGCTGCTGCAACATTTCTACAAAATGTGTGACGCGTGTCCTGATTTACCCCGCCTGTCCCTTATTACCCCGTTTGATGGTACATTGTGCTCAAAAGACTAGGTAAATTTGTCAAATATGGGGGAAGCAGCTTTGAAGAGCCATGCCACCTTTGAAGAGCCATGAAGAGCTATGCATTTGCACGTTTGCTATTTATCAACTGTAGGAGATGATAGATTATGCACGGTTAGTCTTTCAGTTGTGCTAAACCTGTCCTATACGAGTCTTGAAAATTATATTGATGATCATGTAGAGTCATGGAAATTCATGGAATTTTTTTATAAATACCAGTACAAACTCTGTAACTTACTAAGTTTATGTCACAACAAAGCTTGATGTTCTCTTGAGCTCCCATTATTTTTGCCAATTTGATTAGAGAAATTTTAGTTAGATTAGTCATATGGGTTTCCAGGGTTCATGAAACAAAATTTTAGTGCTGAAAAGTCTATTTTCTTAACCTCTGACATCTCATTTTTATTTAAATATGAAAGTGGTATTTTTTATACAAAATCATTCACACAAATATGACTGCATCCTTATATGACAAGATTAATAATTTTTATATCTTCCATTTATGTAGCAGCCATGCCCAGTACATTGAAGAAGCATTTGATAAAAATTAATAATGTTTAGAACATATGAAAACAATAGAATGTGACCAATCAAGTAAGAAATCATGACAGTGAGGGGTTCTTCCTCTAGCCTGAGCTTCTTTTAAATTTTGGTCTGGTTCCAGCAAAGTCTTTTTGGCCATGTAAATATACATTCTTGGACTGAAAATGTTGCTGAACATATACAAAAATAAAAAAAGATATCTAACTGTTTTGACAGGGTCACCAAAAACAACATTCTTGAGTCATGGCAAGCTCTTTTAATATGTTAAGGGTTGAGTAAATTTTGGTGCATGACACAAGCAAGTGAAAGGGAAAAATTTATTTTAATGCACCTCATGCATCTTCTGGAGACTGGACTATCCATCTTGGTATAGCTTTCCCAATGCAGAAAAAATTTAGAAATATGAATGAGTAATAATATTCATTCAGGCATTTAATTTGTTGTTTAAATCTTTATCTTCTCAGATGGTCAAGTGGTGAACCTGCACACATCCTCAACCATCATGCCTAGACAGCCTTATACTGTCATAGATTTTGCATATAGTAATGTTCAAGAAAGATGCAACAATTTATTTGCTGCCACCTGCAATTTATGCCCTGAAAGAAAAACTGTTAAATATAGCAGATGTAGCCGCAGTAATTTAGTTAGACATTTACGGCAGAAGCATCCTCATGTATATTGTGAATATTTTCGTAAATATGTTGAGAAAAAATCTCCAACTGATCAACCAGGAAATATGATCACCTCACTGTCAACAACTCCACCCATCTTTCCAACCCTCACTTCTGTAACTCCATCCTCTGCTCCCTTGAACACTATTAATACAGTTTCAAACATTATCAACACAGTTCCAAACCCTGTCAGCACAGTTCCAAACCCTGTCAGCACNAGTGCGAGGACGGAACCATGGACGTGGATGTCAAGGAGGAACCCTTCTCCTATGATGAGGTATGAAGTTTCATATACAAATCTTTGATCCCAGATATTTGTGAAGTGTAACACAATGAATTCACATGAATGAATGTGAATTCATTCATGATGAATGATGAATCATTTGAATAATTAATTAATTAACATGATAAATTTTCTTGAATGTGAAGTTGATGTGACATTAGGAATTTGTTTAGTTTTTGTTGTGTGCTTGAGTCTCAATACAGTCTCATGTCCACCATGCTGCTCCTGTCTCTTATACACATCTAGATGTGTATAAGAGACTGGATCAAGAGATAATGACATAAGCTTTGTAATTGATGAGAATTCTAAATGGATTGACCAAATTTGTATGGTAGCTCCAAATTACTTGGAAATTCCAGCCCCTATTATCTTTGCAACAGAATCTTTTTCACTCCACAAAAAGCCCAATCAGAGTGCACAACCATCATTAGCAATTATGAAACTGTTTGAGTCTGTGAATGTGCAATTTAAGACGTGTGGCAATGAATGCCAAGGACTTCAAGAGTGCTCTTGTTTGAAGAATGATCATGCAAATTTCATGAACATTTTCCGAGATCAGTGGCGGGCTGCACCTCAGAACAAACTCGTCAGGTATGGAAGTGCAACAGCACAGTCATACACCCATGCATTTGCACATTACATCAGCGCCAACAACAGCACACCAACGTATCCAGTGAACATCATACGGTGCCTTGAAGTCGTCCAGCTCATGAAGCCGACTCTAGCAGCTACAGAAAGAGTGATGTCACACGTGGAGATTGCTGTTAGAAATAGATTTGAATCCCCGGGCTACATGAATGAAACAAAATCTGATGAAGAAACTGGCATTGATACTGTCCACATTGAAGCTTTTCTCAGATGTAATACAAACATGGTACAGCATGATGCTGATCTGGCAGAAGAGATTTTTTCAAACCGAAATGAACAATCTCTCAAGGAAACCAAAAAATTCAACTCAAAAAGTTTAACTCACGGCTTGGAACGACTTGATGGCAACCACAGGAAGAACATCTTTCAAAAGAAATGCAATTTAAAAGAACCAAAAAAGTACAAGAAAATTAAAACTGATTGTCTGTTAAAATTCCCAGAGCTTGAAGAAGTTCCTGACTCATGTGGTTCATTCTCAGCTTCATCGGAGTCCAGACACTACCCTGCAGGGGATCCGACACCTATTGTACAACCTGCAGATAATGCAGGCCAGCTATCAGACATTACTGACTCAAGAGGTGTGGATGCATGTGAGGAACCACTTGAAAACCAGTTGTGCCCAATGGAGAATGTCAACACAAATCTCGGAAATGAAAATTCACAAGCTACTAAGACAATGGAAATTTACTGTATTTGTGAAATAAGTAAAGAAGAAAATCCAACAAAAAAGAAGCCTTGTAAATGGATTAGATGTTGTGGTGGTAAGAAATGTGAATCTTACATTGAAAGAATGGCTACAAGAAATGTTGCAGGAGGTAACTGGTTCCACTTGGAGTGTTTGCAGATGAACAAAATGCCAAATGGTCCCTGGTCCTGTAAGAAGTGCAACGATAAGAAAACTGCCAACTTGAGACAAGACTCGACCAATTATAATACTCAAGAATGCAGCATTGTCCTGCAGCGATGCCCTAAAGATCCTGATAGGAGTGTCTGGTGTGCTGAGCAGAGCTTCCCTCAAGTGTCTGCTGCTGAAGTGAAGTCTGAAGGTGAGTCTAGTGTTCGGTTAATGCTCAAGTTGTATTTCTTTTGCCTTGACAATTCTCTTCGATTTCAAAAATTAGGTTCAGATTTTAAAAATTTGTGCTTATTTGTAAGTGAAAACTATCCTGATATTTTCAGTATTTAACCCTTCTAAAAGTAAGTTAGGATATACCTATGGTAACTCTAAATCTCTGACCAGAAATACCAATCAAATCCTTTGTTTTGTCCCTGAGGCTGCTTTGTCTCAGCTTATCACCATCCATCTGATCACCTTCACTTTCCTGGCATCACTCACTACAATACTTTGGAATTAAAATATGATCATTTAATACATTTGTTACTCAGAAGCCTAATTAAATACTAATGTTTGCATTTGATATAATTGAACAAGTAATCTCATCATTTATTATCAGTATGGTATGTATCATTTATTGGTCATTTGAAGATAGACAATTTTTTTGTGTGTTCAACTCAACATAATATCATATGTGTCAATTACAGTGGCTGCATTTAAATAATTTTTTAAGTATTTTTTCATCATACTACTTGCATAGTCAAATTTACTGGCATTCTTTTGTCCACCTGTTAAAGGTTTTAAAATGAAGTCATTTCTCTTGACACCATCAAAGTATTCAATGCAAGAAATAAGTATAAATAAGTTTCATAATAAATATAATATTTTATATTTATATTTGTCAGCATCATCAGGTCAGCAATAACATAAATAACCTACCTCACTCTGAATCATAGAAGATTGCTGTTTGATTTTATTACAAGGAAGGGAATATTTTTACTGAGTGAATGTTAAGTTTATTTTTGTTTCTTGAGCAGCTTCTGAAGCTGCTGCGCCATCTCTTGTTCTTGAAGCTGCCGCTGACAACACCAACGACGAGTGCGAGGACGGAACTATGGACGTGGATGTCAAGGAGGAACCCTTCACCTATGATGAGGTATGAAGTTTCATATACAAATCTTTGATCCCAGATATTTGTGAAGTGTAACACAATGAATTCACATGAATGAATGTGAATTCATTCATGATGAATGATGAATCATTTGAATAATTAATTAATTAACATGATAAATTTTCTTGAATGTGAAGTTGATGTGACATTAGGAATTTGTTTAGTTTTTGTTGTGTGCTTGAGTCTCAATACAGTCTCATGTCCACCATGCTGCTCTGTGTATCAAGTACAAGGACACAGCATTGGAATTTTAAACAATAATTTCCGTTGTTATCCAAAGTTCATTTCCTTATAAATATAATCTATGTCACCACCTGCCATGGCAGGCACGGGAGCCCCCCAGCCCCGGGTTTGGGGGCCTGCTGGTTGCTCCCCCGTTGTGTGTGCCATGCAAGAGGGAAGCTCCAATGGAGGCTCCTGATGGCCACGACGTCCCTCTGTGTTATTTGCTCGTCACTGATGGAGCTGAGGGACAGGTGGGTGGTATTGCCATGGCTCCTGATGGCCTACGATTATTATCACATGAGCTTGGTCACTGAGCTCAGTTGCATCCAACAACTTTTTGATCTGCAGGGCCAGCATTCCATGTTCAGCATGCAATTTCCACATCACCATGCCTGGAAAGTGTAAATTTCGTGACATGTGGTTAAAATTAGAAGCTTATTGTGACTAGCTTGCTCACCATCCAAAGCATGAAGGTATGGCGATATATACCGTCAAACGGGGTAATAAGGGACGGTATGAGCATTTTTTCTGAAGAACTTTTTACCGTGAAACATTTCAGAAATGAGTTTGGGCTCATTTTAAAGCTCGTTGCGAGGTCTACCGGTACCAAATGGCATCTCCAAAAAATTCCATATGCTATACATAAGGCGCCAGACACAAAATAAAAGCGTCCCAAATTACCCTTGGTAGCCACAGAAAAGCACACAAGGCAGTATACAAGCTGAATGGTAATGAATGAGAAGCCATGAAGATTCCAGCAATCATTGTGTTTCTTGTTGCTTTTTCCTGTTCTTCTTTTGTTGGGAATCCTAATATATGTTGACTTCCATTGTCAGATTTGCTAAATTCCACAGCTTCTTCATGTTGTTGACTTTGCAGGTGTTTTTTCATGACGTGATTTTTGTACCTGGTGGTAGTGAAAGTCGTTCCCTTGGTACAGGATTCTCTGTGCTAGCAATGTTGCTGCTGCATGGAATTGCTGAAACTTCTTGTTCCATGATATGGGATGTTTTGGATTGCATTGTATTGTTAAATTGTGCTGGTAGGAAAAGAGATTTCATTATCCTTTTGCCTTTCCCCTCCAAAGAGGAACTCTTTCTGATCTTGCTGCAATATGTTTTATAGGCATTTGGGTGGTGACGCTCGAGGTGTTTTGATAAATTACAGAAACTTGTTCTAGAAACTTTACCAATCCCCCTCCATACTTGCAAAATTTGCACTTTACTTGAAATGAACCGCTATTTACTATGGAAACATTTGAAAAAGCAAACTCAATTATAGGATGAGTGGTAGCCATGATGACGGTGGACAGCTTTGGAAGAGCAGAGATGAGTCAGATGAGGGATGACCTAGGAAAAAATTAAACATATCACATTTTGGTAATGAGAGAAAAAAAGGCAAATTCACAAACCATAATACTAACTTAACCATCATTTCTTATTTCTAAATTATTATAGAATCAATAGAATTAATTATTAAATACCATAACTTAACTATATAGCAAGAAGCCAGAGTCCTGAATGCCAAATTATAGGACACAACTATTAGTAGATTAGATTCAATTTCTTAAGTATTTTTGTTATACCGTAATATAAATATTCGATTTAATGGATGCTGAATTTTGAATTTATAAAAATCTGTGGACTTGATATGTTGAAGAGATAATTTTTCAATTTCCTTATTAAACATTTATTTTTAACTTCCACAGGCAGCCGCACTTCAACTGCAACAAAGTATTTTTTCTAATTTCATCATTTTTCATTGACAGACTGATGAAAGTATTAGTATTTTTAAACCTGCTTTCTTGACCACATTGCTGCAAGTCTGCAACTCAAGTCAAATGGGGTAATAAGGGNATAGGATCTAATAAGCAAAAAGTAACACTTTTGTTATGAACGTAACACCTCTGGCTAGAGGAGGGAAAATGATGCATTGTGAAAAAAAGTGGAACTAATCAAAACTGGCACCGCGTAGATTAAGGGTAGGTCGCAAATTTTTTTTCCGTGTTAATCAAAACCGCAGTATTCAAAACCGTGCTAATCAAGGGATTGCTGTACTGTATTATTGATATGATATTACCATACCTATCCATTGTGAATTTACAACAACCTTGTCTACTGCAAGCTTCATATCAGCAGCTGTATAGCATTTCTTCTGTATCTGCAAACTTACAGGACAGTTGTAATTTCACATCATTTTAATTGTGTTAAGTGAATTCACTATAACAAATAAAAAAAAAAGATCATAAAAACATACCTGAAACAGAAAGGAATGTTTTAGTAACAACCATCATATATTTTGGAGAAATAGGCTAAATCCTAGTTTAGGTTAATTACTTTTCATTCTATGATGCCTGGTGCACAATTCTATCTAGGACATTCTATGCACAATTTTGTGATGACTGATGATGCATTACTTTTTCATTATCATTAATTGAAATTTTTTTGCTGAGCAAGGTAGTAAATGTAATCAAAATTTGTTGTTGATTGATTTTTTGTTAACTGGAGTCTTTGCTAACTGAGGTTCTACTGTAAATGCATTTTCAGGGAGTATCCCTTAAGGCTTATATAATTACCCCCATCCTGCAGAAATAACCGCCAATTTTTTAATGAGATACGTGGTCATACTTAAAAGCTGAAGGCGCTGAAGACGCTGAAGTGTGGAACATGTGCCATGTGGCGAATAATGGATCGATCAAATGTGGCGGAGAATTGGGCAATTTCGTGATTTTAGAAGCAGATACTACAATAGCATACTACCAATAATATACCATCGAATGGGGTAAAAAGGGACGGTTTTAAGAGGTTTTTGTTAATTACTTCTTACCATGAAACATTTCAGAAACAAGTTTAGGCTCATTTTATAGCTCTTTGCAAGGGCTATTGAATGGCATCTTCAAAAAAATTCCATATGCTATTTGTAAGGTGCTAGACGCAATATAAAAGGCTCATGAATTAATCTTGAAATGGGGTAAAAAGGGACACTTGAAATAAAACTTAATTTCAAACATTTGAAGCATGCAGAGTGTACTCATCTATTACTAACAGTACTCTGAAGTTCTCCTCTTTTATTGTAGATGATGTAGATGTAAAATAAATGACATTTTCTGTGATTTTTACTTGTTTTTCCTTTATTGATATGATATTACCATATTCATTAATTACCATATTGCTAATTAGATATTACTGTTTCCATGGACATGCCATTGGGCATTGACAACAAACTTGTCCACTGCAAGCTTCATATCAGCAGCCATGTAGCATTTCTTCTGTATCTGTAAGCTTACAGGATGGTTTGTAATTTTGCACAATTGTAATCAAGTCTAGTGATTTCACTATAACAAAAAAGATAGTGAAAAACATACCTTGCCACTATTTTTAGTTTTGCAATATTTTGATTAGTTTAGCTGCTACAATATTTCTACAAAATGTGGGACACGCGTCCCTATTTACCCCATCCATCCCTTTCTACCCGTTTGACGGTATATAACACTCAAACACTGGTGTCAAAAGAAATGAAAATCTTGAACCATAGCATTTGAGGCAGATATACCCGTTCTCTGTTTAAACATGTTAAACAATTAATTACCTTTCATTTCAAGTAAAACCTTTCATCGATCAATCGTTCGCCACTTCAGCGACTTCAGCTTTTAAGTGTTACCCTGAGATACGCAACTTCTGCCAATCACATTTCCAAGCCAAGTAGCCAACACCACCATCATCATGCAAGCAGCAGCTCTGCAGCTGAGCCAGCAAGCAGTGCAACTTTTATCATTTTATGTAAGTAACATTTTTTAATATGGCATATATTTTTTTTGCTACAGACCTCAGCCGTCCGTAATTTAACAAAATCTCACTTTTTACATTTTATTCAGGGCTATTTTAGAGGTTGTAAATGTATGATTTATTAACTAGCTTTATATTACATACCTAGATAGTAAAAATGTTGAACTTTAGGCCACTAAGGCACTATTTTTAGGTTATGCAATACAGTATTTTGATTAGTTTAGCTGCTACAACACTTTTTCCCCCCATTTGACAGTATAGCAAAAATAAGCAAATAAACAGGGAGTGTGGGACTGTGGTTTGCTTCACCAGGTGTGACCGTGTGGGGCTGTGGGCCATGTGGCACAGCCACAGTCTCACAGACTGGACAGCTCCAAGTTAATAATAAGTTAATTGAACAATTAAACAAGACACAACACACAAGTTGGTTTAACGACAAAGAACATAAATCATCTGATAACATCATACCTAGTAACAACGTTATCATGTCATGCAAAATATACAATTTTAGTTCTTTCAGCATATGCCATATAGATATAGGTATCATAATTGTAACAAATGATATATTACACTTACAGAATTGTATCATCCTAAAATATATATTATACGTAATAATGTACTTCTACTGAGTATAGTACTGACTACTGAGCACTACTGACCACTCACCACTGTTTTCGTGAAAATATGAAATAGTCTGTTACTGCCGGACTGCGGAATGATTAAAGCACGTCTACGTTCTACGGTCCTATATATAAAAGTCAATGTTTTTTCATTTGGAGTTCAGTCCATACTCCGTAGCCACTCATTTCGTCAAAAAATGTAAATTCCGAATGGTCCAGTGGGCCATTGTTTACGGGTTTAATGGAAACTATTCAATTTCCAAATTAGACATTTGAATAATTTAATTTCAGATCAAAAACAATATTAAACTCAAATTCTTATATTAAACGTGAAGTTCACGTCGATAAATAATATAGAATTGAATTTTTTGAGATATAATATTTAGAATGAAGTACTACTTAATAAGCGTCGATTGTCGAAGTACCGAAGCCGGAGGAGCGAGTCGTCATTTTCAAAGAGACATCGCCCAGCTACCGTTCCATCACGCGATCACGGCACCACGTGACTTTAATTTTTTTTACTTATACCTAAGCAAGTAAATCTTACACAAATCTTGATTCACGAAAAAAATTATGAAGAATAGAGAAGTAAAATATCTATCTTACTTTCATAGGTTGCAAAATCCTGCAAGGCTGCATTGCACAGGCACCGGTGACAGCAACACGTAGAGTTATGCGCTTGCTATCAGAAACGGGAAAGACTCGCACAGTTGAGTGAGTTGACCGCCCTTGACTAGTGAGTAGTGATCAAACAACTCTGATAGAACACGCCAACAAGAATAGGCGACGCGAGGCTAGCAAAAGCCAAGGTCGTTAAAGAAATGCCAGATTTTTTTCCTTCGTAAG